ATAAGCTTTCATGGACTACAGCCCACTGTAGTCCACGAAAGCTTATGCTCTAATAAATTTGTTAGTCTCTAAGTTTCCACAAGTACTCCTGTTCTCTTGTATTTATATTTCAAACAGACTTTTTAATGGAATATGGGATTTTGTGTGCATACGCATTGTCACTTTTGCTGCTGGTGCTCTTGTTCTGAGCGGAATATCTTTTCCATAACTGTACAATGTAAATCCAGAAGACTTTTGATTTCTGCCCATGATCTCAGGTTCTGAACCAGCATTGCACTTAATTCATGTATACTTGTCTCCATCTGCAGAATACTGTGGACAAGCTCATTAAGAAAACAAACCTAGCCCTTGTGGTTGGAACTAACAGCTGGAGAGAACAGTTTATTGAAGCTATCACAGTCAGCGCTGGTAAGTTCCTGTTTCTACATGGAATGAATTATGATAAGCCACTTTCTGGTCTCAGTTGTACTGCATCCGTGGCAGCAGATTACTGCTGAAGCAAAACAGATAACAAAAGTTATTCATAGTGTTTGCGTATGTATGTCAGGAGGCTTGTGACACACACACCCCTCTGAGCCACAATTCTTGCCTGCCCCCTGTTGCGCCACAGCAGGGATAGAGGTGGTAATTTGCTGTTAGCCTATAACTGCAGTAAATTATTGGCTCCCTCCAATCCAACACTGACTCCGCTGTTCAGGCCACAAGTGGTCGCTAGAGTCAAGGCTCCATTCAGTACCGTCCCCTGCACCCCAACCTGCTCTGGTGCGTGCACAGTGGCCTCTTACTGCTCCATGTGCAGACCCGGGTCTGGGTAGCACACACAGAGGTGTAAGGGCTGGGGGATACTTACACCCCTTTACTCTCTTGCCTGGGCACGCAGACCAAGTCACAGTCTAGCCCTATGAATGGGCTTGGGATCATGGTTTGTGGGTCTATTTCTGATCAGCTGTGGCTGATAGGGTGGGACAGTTTGATCCAGGGCCGCCCAGAGGATTCAGGGGGCCTGGGGCAAAGCGGGGGAGCGGACATACTCACTGGGCGGTGCTCTGAGTCTGCGGCGGCAGGTCCTTCAGTCGCTCCGCATCTTCGGCAGCACTGAAGGTCCCGCCGCCGAAATGCCGCCAAAGACCCGGACCACCGCCAGGTAAGTAAAAATTAAAAAGGCGCCTCTACCCAGGAAAGTGATTCTCGGCCAGGGAGGGGCCTGGGGCAAATTGCCCCACTTGCCCCCCCCCTCCGGGCGGCCCTGGTTTGATCCTGCTGTGGACTGCTATAGCTGCTCTTCCTCCCCATGTTCTCATGCACTGTGCTGGAGTCTCCTGTGTGCATCATGACAATTGCTATAGGGCACGTTCCTGCAATTCCAGACATGACAAGCTAAAAGAATAGCTCCACAATCAGCTGACCATGGAAATAAGAGGGTGATAAAGCATAACACAGTGCGTTATCTTCTGTCGCTTTCCAATGCCCCTTCCAAGAGCAGTCAAGCACAAAGACAAAGTGAGTGTCAGAAACTTTCCCAGGCAAGCATTCGGAGTAAATAATGATCTCCTTCCTTGTTAGCAGTCTTCCTGGTGCGTTGGACTTCGCATCTTCATGGACTGCAAGGTTGCTCTGAGAGGAACAACTTCATTTATTTTAAGTAGACTCCATTTGGAGACATTGCATAATCGGTTGATTAAACAAAAAGGCATGTTTCATTTGTGAGGAGCAGATCTCACTTCTGTCTGCTCAGTGCTTAGAAGTCATTTGGTATTGCTAGTGTTTGCACATCACATGTCCCTTCTTCAGGTCTGCATAGCATAACTTCCTTCCTCCACAAAACAGCAGAGCAGTGACACATTTGAAGGAAGACATTGTGATAGCTTCCTCCTCCTGAAATTAGGTCTGCACTCCAGGCTGCTGAGCTGATGGGCTGCCAATAAGGCTACTGACAGTCAAATGTTCTGTTTACTCCCTTGTGGATTTTGTCAATTAAAGCTTAGAATATGAAAGGCATATCTCGGTGCTTTCATTCACTTTTTGCGCCTAAGTTGAAGATACCAAGCTACGGACTTTACTCACTGCACCTGAGAGGATTTTCCTTTGCAATCTGCAGCTGATCTTCCTTTTCACAAGGCTTTGGTTTTGTGGATAGCTTAGCAGCTGTGACCCAAGATATAGTTCTTCCCCATCCATCTAGCAAGTCTGATGTTGATTGCTTTCCCTATGTCCCTGGAAGTTGTGTGGTTAAATCTGACAAAGGATATTAATAATTTCCTTAAGGAATTCCTTATTTCACCTTGTGCTGTAATACCATGACAATTCTAACACTTTGCATTGAAAGCTCTCTTACTTGATAAAATGGAAGATAGAAAAAGAAAGCCCAGAGAGGAAGGATGGTCCAAGGGTTGGGTACTTGCTGGAGACACGCAAGAACTGAGTTCAATGCCCCACTGTGCCAGGGACCTCCTTAGCGACCTTGAACAAGTCACTTAGGAGGCAGAGAGGTGTTCAGTTCCCCACTGAAAGTCAATGGGAGTTGAGTGCCTCAGTTTCCCCTTCATAAAGTGAGGATAAGAGCACTCCCTACTTCCCAGAGGTGTAGAGAAAATCAATACATGCAAAAAGAATTGTGAGATGCTCAGATACTACAGTAATGAGGCCCATGGATAACTCGGTACCTTAGAAAATAATTTTGACTTAGTCATCCTTATCCAAAACCTAATTATTGTCATTGGTCGCGAACATGCCACAAGAATGGCAGCTGCCCAATGATGCGCTGGCTGCGTAATGTGCTGCAGTAAAGGCTAGCTGGCTTGGGAATCGGAGGCATTTTGGAACGGCCTGATCCTTACCACATAAGGGACCAAAGGGAGGATCCGCTCCCCAGCTCGGTCAGTATCCATTGAACAGGCTTGGGAGTTTCACTGCCCACACTCCTAATAGATTTAATGGCGGAGCTGAGAGTGGGATGGAGGTGGTAAAAGAGAGAGAACAAAACGCAGTCGAGGTGCAGAACTACGTCGATCTTAGGTGCCTCTGTGGCCTGTGATGAGGTGCACAAACCCCACACTAGAAAGGACTGGGTAAAAAGCTACTCTGGACCCAGCTGTCTGTCCCCCCCTCCCCCACCCCACCTGCAATGCATGTGCTGGCTGGAGGAGGTGTTTAAAAAGGGGAGCAGAGTACCTCAGTGGAAGGCCCATGTGGAAGTGATCTGACCTGCGAGCTAAGCTCCTGGGAAGGGTACCCTGAGAGCTCTTGCTGCCTGAGACCTGACCCAGCCTCCAGAGATGGGACCTGGGACTCGCTGAAGGTCAGAGACTTTATTTGGGAGTTTAGTTCTTTACTTTATCCTGTGGGAAGAGAGGGGACTGGTAGGGAGTGATGCAGGGAGGCAACTGCCTAGCACCCAAGGGTTTAGCTGTCTTCTGTTGGGCCCTGGATTGGAGCCCAGTGGAGGAGAGGCCCTGGGCTCTCTTACCCTCCCTAAAGAGGGACAACCACAGAAGTCTGTCCCTTGTTGGGGAAGATACAATGCTCTGGAGCACGAGACCCAGACCCCAGGGGAAGCCCTGACTCTCTCGCTTAATCCTGAGGACTTGTCCATTACTGGCCTCTTTAGACATACCCCGAAAGAGGTGGGCTTGAACATCTGACCTGGCCAGAGGGCTGAGTCACTGGAAGGCCAGAGCACTGCAGGGCAGAATGGCAGGAAGACAGGGGAACGCCTGGGCAGAAGGCAGCCTGCCACACCCCTGCCAGACCATTCTCGGTGGCACAGGTTGTGAGTGTTCCCCATCACCATAGTATCTGAGAACTTCATGTCTCTAATGTATCTACTCTCACAGCACCCCTGTGCTGTTATCCCCATTGTACAGATGGGACACTGGGGCACAGAGAGACTAAGTATTTGCCCAAGTTTACACAGGAAGTCTGTGGCACAGCAGGGAAGTGAGCCCACGTCTCCCAAGTCCCACGCTGGCACCTAACTGCAGGGCCACCGTTGTCACTGTGCAGAATAGTGATGAGTCAGAAGTTGAGTGTGGGGTCATGTAGTGCTGAGAGCTGACTGCCGAGGCATCATGCTCCCAAACAAACCACAGAAAGCGCTGAGCATTGACTCCGCGGAAGGATCGAGCCTCTTGCATTCAGTCTCAGAAAATGCTGTAAAGAAAACCCTGGCTAGGTGGATCCTTGGGACTCCGCAGAGGCAGGCCAGGGAGTGAGTGAGAGGCGAGCTCTCGATGTGCCTGCTGTGGATAGTTGCGATACCAGGGCAAGCAGCATGCAGCTGGGAGGCCTCAGCTGAGAAGCTGGGACTGGCAGCCTGCTGTGCTGGTGAGCTGCTGTGCATTGCTGGTGGAGTTGGGCCATCCAGGAGAACCAGGGGAGTGGCATGAACCCCCAACCTGCTTTGCCAACGTAGCTTCACCCAGAGGAGACAACTTGGAAGAAATCATAGTGCTACCTATGCACTGAGTCTGCTGTGGGCAGCTGTCTCATCCAGGGGCGTGTGCCTGGGGGAGAGATGAGAGCCTTGTTTTAAAGTCTCCTTGCCATTAGAGCATCAGTACCCAGCTCCTAATAGGATTCCAGGCCCATGTGAGTGCCCCTGTTATTTGGCTCCACTGTTTCTCCCCAAACACTACCTTGTATTGCTATTATAATAGAAATAAAGCCCTGAGTGACAGCAGCAATGCAGAGAAGATGTGGTGCCTTCTAGTTAGTCTCTGTAAGAAGAAAGCTCCTTCAATCCAAAAATTCAAATGTGACAAGCTCAGCTGAGCTCCTGTACCCACAGCACACTCAGACAAGCAAAGCTTGATTCACAACACAGCGTATTCCGCCAATCAGCCACAACAACGTGGGGACGTTGCTAGGAAAAATCAGACCTGCCAGTGTGGCCTGAGGCAGCATAGCCCTGTGGCCTAGGACACAAGCCTGGGGTGAAAGTCCTGCCTCTGGCCTACTTGGGGAAGGTTAAGTCATCCTGGCTTCCTTTCTCACCCTTTCTCTGTTAAGTCTCTGACCCAAAGAGCTTGCAACCAACCTCTTTTTTACTCTGTGCCTATAGAATAGGACCCCAACCAAGCTTGGGGAACTTCTGTACTGCAAAATATTATTGATCATAAAATATATGACTGCTGGGATCAATGAGAGCAGGAATTAAATCAGAGAGTGAGTTATGACAGGATATTGTCATTTGTATAGCTATAGTGCCTAGAGCCCAGGACTGCACTGTGCTAGGCACTGTATGAACACAGCACATAAAGGCCATCCCTGCCAGGGATCTAGCCAATTAAAAATAAGGCACCCACCCAGTTTCTTGTCTGCCACATAATCCACATTCATTTATTAACACTCCTGACATTTCATACTGCCCACTCTGTGGTACATGTGTCCCCTGGCTTCATTCTGTAATG